TCGCGGCCATCGCTACTATCACCATCAAGCTTCGTGGCATGTGATGTGAATGATGATGCATCCCCATCACTGCCCTATGAGATGAAATTAAAGCGAGCTTTAGTTCACACTACAAGATTTTCATTTTTCCCCGACAGTAGACTAGCAATGGCCTACAATTTCTTGTATACTCAATTAAGCAGTTTTGATCACTGTGGGGATTGATGTTGTCGGGAATGTGCTTGTAGGTGATTAGTAGAAACTGTCAGCCACTCATGTTATTGTACTGGACTACTGTAGGCTATTCAGTTAAAAATACTAAAGATCAAGCAAACTGTTGGCCACTACACCCAGAACTGTCGGGAAATGGTAGATATCTTGTAGTTTCAAATAATGTTTGGGTTCCCGGGAACTTGCCGTGTCGTGTGTGTGGAGGGGCCTACCAGGATCTTATATCTGTGAGAGAGACCTTAGTTGTCCTTTTGTTACTCGTGCCTGAGAAAAATAATGGGTTGTGATATTTTTTGGCGACTGTAAATCAATCTTTGCTTTACTAACTCAGAATAACAGGTTGTCCGCCAATAATTGATGATTATTTTATATGTCCAACTGTTAAACAAAATGATTTATATGGCGGCTGAATTTTTGAAATATATTTAATGGGTAAATCTCTAATAACAACTGTTGTATTTTCGGAATTCAGTCAGCGAGGAAAACGAAAACTATGTGCTGACTTACTCAATATACGGCGGCAGAAGTGGACGATTAGATTAGTGCTATATATGGAGACAACACTCGCTCTAACTGAAAGGGAATGAACATCATCTATCCGCGCAAGAGAGACAGAGACTTAACGTGCTGATCTCTGTGGCAAAAGGCTGGATACTCAATTACATTTCAAGCGATGATAAAAGTAATTTAGATATCATGTTGTTATTATTTATGTACGCTGGGCGATATATACATGAATAATAACAGCATGATAGCTAATTTATTAGTTGAATTTCTATACTTTAAGGTTCTATATCACCATTTCTCTGTCCAAGAGTTTGCTTCATTAACACTTTCCAAGCTCGCGCTGACATAACTTGGCTTCTGCAATAATTCTTCTGAAATCAAGTTTATCATTTGGTTCCTACTGTTCAAATGTTGTTCCCATACGGTGGCTCCCTGCAAATTGCTGATTGATCACTGACTCAAACCAAGTTTTACATTGATGCAGGGCCATACAAACCCAATATCTAAAAATCAACATTTCTGAAGCTTGTTTATCTGACAACTATGAGCATACTCAGCAATGTGCCAAAGCGTGAAATAAAATATGCACAGTTTTTTAGTTTAAAAAGAGCAGAATTTCGTAGGCTGGTTGGTCGCGGAAGCCTCCACTTGTTACTCAACAACGTAAAATGCAGCCCTTTGAACAACGCCCTCACTCTGTTTCTCCAACGGATAAGTTGGTCACTTGTATGCTGCTCTTTTAGCTGCAGTACTGCAGAATAAGTTGGAGATCGGCAATATAGCTACAGTACTGCTCCGGCACATGCATAACGGACAAATATCTTCATGATACATGGGACACGTGCAATCAAACTAAGTATTGAACACGTTTATTGAACACATGGTTGTATTACAAGTTTCTTGAAGCACAACTATAGTATTACATCACGCTCATAGGCATAGAAATAGCTTTACGCTAGTAGGTAGCAGTACGAGTATATTATTTTGAGCTTAACTAACGCCGAGAGCAAACGACATGACAGAATTCTGACATGTACAATCTAATAAGCGCGTAGCAGATTTTTTTTTAGCGCGTAGTAGTTCAGATACGAACAAGTGGTTTTTCCCAGAAAAAGAAAAGGTTCAGATACGAGAACATGACGTGGCGGTTCTTCCCTGGAAAACAGAACGAACACTCTGCTCAACAGGGGAACCAACAAAGCGTGGCGGCAGCGGCTGAGTCTTGATTGCCGGTCAGATTGAGAGTTCAGAACATCAGAGGGGCGCTTTTGTTTCAACAATCAACTGAGGGATCCAATACCTGCATGGATAATTCTCCGCGAATTCCAATGGTGATCAGGGATATGATATCCCGAGAAGGAGCAAGGCAAACATGCTGAAGTAGAGCTCCGGTGATGCCTCGCCGACGACAGCCGTGACGGCAGAAGATTCCAAGATCACCCCTGCGGCGGATAGGTTGCGGCGCAGGAACGCCGCGAGAGCGCCGACACCGGCGAACTCCGCGGAGCCGACTGGTGTCGTCGGCTCCGCGTGGGCCGTCCTCTGAGTTCCTCCGAACTCGGACGACGAGGAGAGATTGGCGCCGACGAGAACACCCGCAGCCGCAGGGCCAAGGACTACGCCGTACTCGCCGGAGCCGACGACACCAGACGTCTTAGTACAAGCGAATGCCTTTTTTTTAACACAGACGTTTGAACGTGGGCACGCCCAAGTTCTTGGCTGGTTGGTTGATTGATGGCCGAATGATTGGGACCCCGGTCGCGGGTTGGTGTAGTACCAGTGCGACACCCCGGCCCGGCGACTGATGCGCCACACGGTGCCGCGCCCGTGTCGTGGGCTCGTGGCAGCAATGCGATGGTGCGAAACTCCCGTGCCACATGTGCCAGCAATGCGATCGTGCGATGCTTGTGCCAGGTTATGTAGTAAATCGAGGCATGATTCAGAGACTCCGCTCCGCTTCGGCGCCAGACTCCCCGATTGGGATCGTGCAGTCCACCCTACCCGGGTCGGGGCTGATCCCGTGGTCCAGTCCAGTGGGAAGCACGTGGGAGGTAGGGCGGGGTCTGACCCTGGGCGCCGGTGGTGCGCGCGGCCGCGGCGTGACACTTGTGTTTGGATGGATCTGTGCGAACGACGGCGACGCGGCTTGGAGAGATGTGTGTGGGCAAAGGCAAGGCGGCAGCCAGCTCCTGCGCGTGGTTCGTGATCGCGGACTTCACCGAGCTAACTTGTCGGCCTTCCCTCGTGGAGGGTGGCGCTTGGCCCCTCGAAAAACGGGCGGCTGCTGGATGGATGGATGGAACCACCATCATTCACGGGCTGAAAGCTGCAGTTGGCTTTCCTGGGACGAATTTCAGTTTGTTCAGTTGTTAGGTGAAGTCTTTGCCCTATCTTTCTTTTCCCTGGGAAGAAGAACTAAACGTTGCGTGGCCCCAGCTAGGAAGGCAGACGTCAAAGACATTTTAGAATATTCTTATCCTCTTTCCATTGGATCGGATGTGGAAAGGAAAAAAAAAAGAGATTAGCTACAATATTGAACAAGCTAAAACACATCGCTGCATTACAATTTTCTTGGAGCAAAAAGATTGTATTACATCAAGAAGCTTACACAAACACGACGTACCACCATATATTAGCCCGTAGGCATAGAACAAACATGCACTCGTAGTACGAGTATCCTATTTTGAGCTCAATTAAACTTTGAGCACATAACTGTTGCAGCGATATTGTAGGCACACAGTAGTAGTGCAATTACGAACATGACCTTTTCTTTTTTTTAAAAAAAGAAAAAGAAAAAGATACGAACATGACGTGGTGCTTCTCGCACAGTTGGATTGCTGGTCTTCCCGCCGGGAAAAGAGAACACTCTCCCGAACAGGGAAACTTTGGGTGGCGGCGGTTGATTGCCGATCCGATTGGCAGTTTCAAGAATCAGGTGAGCATCAGTGCGTCCAACGATTTGCTTCAATCATTCCCCACGAACTCCCATGGCCATGACGAACATCCCGAGAAGAAACAGAGCAAAGAAGCTAAAGTAGAGCGCGGGGGATGCCTCGCCGGCGACAGCCGTGACGGCAGAAGAAGCCAAGAGTAGACCTGCGACGGCGAGGTTGCGGCGCAAGAAGAACGATCTGATCAGCGCGCCCGCACCGGCGAACGCCGCGTGGCCGATGGGTGTCGCCGTCAGCTCCTCCTCCTCGGCCATCCGCCGGACGCCGACGCCGACGAGGATGGCGCCGACGAGAACACCCACGAGACCAAGGAGGGCGCCGTACTCGTCGGAGCCGACTCCGGCGCTGACTGCAAGCAACATGACGATGAACCCGGCGCCGGACATTCGGCTCCTCATCGTCGGCGGCGGCGGCGCTGCGACGTCACCTGTCAATCGGAGCAGCCGGGAACAAAGATATTCGTCAATAACCAAGCAAATTGGCGGCGGAAAACAAGAGAGTGCAACTGGGGGCCCGAACGGATCAAGAAAACGGCATAAACATGTAATCAAGGGAGGGGATTAATGAACTTTACCTGAGCGTTGGATGGCGAGCACGGCGGCGGCGTCAGGCGTGGCGCCCTTCCACGGAATCGACGGCAAGGAGGAGGAGGAGGAGGAGCTCGCCTACTGAGGCGGGTTGAGGAGCAGCACGCGTCGAGGCTGGCAGGCGGCAGATTGGCTCGATGCTACGCCGCAGCTTGGCTCGGCGAAGGAGAACTGAGAAGGAAAAATGGGGGTGAGGAGCAGAGGACGGTCGGTCAGGGTGGGACTCTGGAACTGGATGGTGGTGGGACTTGGGGAGCTGGGTGGAGGAAAAAGGAGTGCCGGGTTGCGGGCTATTTAAACAGGGGGGATTGGGTGCCGGCTTGGCTCAGGGGAAAGAAACCGGGATCCGATCTGGGTGCGCCACCAGGGCGTTGGACCGAACTATGTTGCACGGAAAGCGAAACGGGTTGGTGTGGTCCGAACGTCCGATGGCCGTTTGCGGTGCGGTGCGCCAGGAACGGGTTGGTGTGGTCCGAACGTCCGATGGCCGTTTGCGGTGCGGTGCGCCAGGCCAGCCAAAAAAAAAACTAGACCCGCGGGGGGAAGCCGCCCCCACGGTATTTTATTAAGAAGGAGACTTTCTCACACAGGTTTAGAAAAATCCCGAACCTCTGCCCCACCCTGACACAGCGGCACACAGCCCGTGAGAAAGCGACCAACGACCTGAGCCGACCTTAGACCTGTGCTTTGGCACATGGAGCAGACGAGAGGATTTTTTTTGAGGAAAATCCCCGGTGCAGCACACCGAGCCGATCTGGGGATCGAACTCGGGTGGGCAGGCTGGCACCCTGCCGCCTTACCACCGAGCCAACGGCTCGTCTGCCCAGGCCAGCCAGAAACGCCCGCCCATGAAATGTTCTTCTGAAACTGGTTGCCTCATCGTGCAAGACAACACCAAATGCCCTATACTCCACACTCCACACAGGACGGAGGGGAGCCCACAAACCAACTAAACGCCGATGTGGTTAACTGCCCGGACAGTGTCGTACTACGACAAATACACAAGCTACCCTTTAATTCTGGCACTCATCAGAACAGAAAAGGTTCGTACTTCCTACTTCCCCTTGCACGACGAGTGACGAAACTGAGCAAATCTCACGTACGCTCCGGTTGCGTTTGAACCCACCACCGGCCCGGCCCGGTCGTGCGCGCGGGCGGGCGTACATTTTCTGTGGCACGTCACGTCTGGCTCCGAGACAAGGAGGCATCGGTCGGGCGCGACGCCCGGCCGGAGCAGCCTGTCACGTTGCAGGCAGCCACCCGGTTGCCAATAACATATTCACGCGGTCGCCGGGTCGGTCGGTCCCCGTCGCCGGCTGGGCGTGACGCGCGCTTTATTCCTGCGGCCACAAAGGTACAGCTCACTCTGTCAAATAAATCCTAATTGTGGCAGCAAAGGTGATGTTTTTGGGTCTCATCATGCACTAGGATATCATACAGGGATGACAAATACAAAAATATATTAAAAAAACTCGAGTTTCCAGGCTTCCCTAGACAGGAAGGTTCTGTATTATGTTAATGATGCTTTGATCATCCACCACTAAACAAAAATGACGCAAACCTCCAAAGTCATGGATCCTGACAATTTTTTATGCTGCATCATGCACTGGGTGTACGATTGTCCTCGTCAAAACAAGTGTGGGTCCCGTCCGTCCCATGGCTGGTGTTCTCCGCCAACGGATGTCACCAGTTTCGTGTCGCTCGCCACACTCGCGTCGCATCGCATCGCATGTCGCTAACTCGCTAAGCCCGAGCCAGACGTGACGGGCCGCGGAAAACGTACGCCCGCCCCGCGCGTGCGTCGTCGCCGCACACGTCGGGAGGCAGGCAGGACGTTTCCGGGCCGTCGGGCGCGACGCGAGCGCATGAATACAGCGTTCGCGACCGGGCCGGGTCTGTGGGTTCAAACGTGACCGGAGCGTGAGATTTCCTCGATTTCGTTACTCGGTCGTGGAAGTAGGTGCGTTTGGGCGAGCAAGTGCACGAGCCTTTTTTCCTGTTCTGATGAGTGCCAGAAAGGTCCGCTTGTCTTTCTCGTACTCCCTCCGTGCTCAGAATACTTGGCATTCTAGTTTCACCTAGTTTTCTTAAAATACTTGGCATTCTCACTTCTCGAGATACTTTCTCTCTTTTCAATACACCTTTATCTCTATCTCTCTCTTTCTCGTTTCCTGCGCACCTACTTTATTCCTTCTTTTCTTAATCTCCGTGTCCAAGGTTAGGATGCCAACTATACTGAGACGGAGGGAGTAGTACACAACACTGTACGGGCGACCACATCAGCGTTTAGTTTCATGAATGATGAAAAGCATGTGCCTCGCGTCGTCTAAAAAAGCAAGCCCGCCTCGCATGCTAGTAGCAGTCTCCGGTGTGCCGGCCGATGCAGCAGCAGCAGCAGAGTTGTCGCGTTTCAGTTTAGATGGTACTGAGGTCAGAGCCAGACGTGACGCGCCACGGAAAACGTACGCCCGCGCCGTCGCCGCCGAACAGGTCAACCCGCAGGCACGAGGCGATCATTCTGCACGCGTCCGTTTGGACGCGAAAGCAACCGGGGCCGGGTCGGTGGGATGGGTACGCGACGTACGTACGGCGCGGCTCCCCTTGATTGTTCCGGTCGCCGGGCATGACGCGAGATTTCCCTGTGGCCATGATATATCTATCTTTGCTAGTGGGCGAGGAGGACGACAGGAAAGCAAATGCCGCGGAGAAGAAAATTTGGTGGAGACCAAGACCAGGGACCACGCGTCTGAGGTTCTTGGGTGAATGCATCTGCGTGGCACGGCACGTACCGGCTGGTGCTGATGCACGGGAAGCAAAAACGGGTTGGTGCGCGACCGACAGCCAGCAACGGCAGTGAAACGTTCTTCGGAAATTGGTTGCCTACGCAACACCGGCTCGGCATTTCCACCTGTTTCGTGACTAAAGGCAATTTGCTCGCTCGCCACACTCGCGTCGCATGGCATGCCGCTAGCCCGGGCCGATGCAGCTAGGCGCGGCCGTGTCGTGCCCGCCATAGGAACGGACGCGCGAGGGGAGCCCACGGACGCGCGCGACCACGTGAATTATTAATTAGCAACCACGTGCGCGGTGGCTGCCTGCAACGTGACAGGCGTCGCGCCGTGCCCGATCGATGCCTTGTCTCGGAGCCAGGCCCGACCGTCGGACGCGACCGGGTCGGTGGGGTCCAATGCGACGTACCGCGCTCCGATCAGCTCGGCCGGGTTCTGTCGCGCGGCGTGACACGGGCGTTCCCCCACACGGGCCATGGCAAATAAAGGGGAACAAGTGACCTATATGGTACTAGCAGGTTGTTAAATAAAGCCATGTCACGACAACAGTGACCTCCTCCCAGATATGCATGCTTGGTCGTTTGCTCTACGCGAACGGACGTCACCACCTGCTGCTCGACCAAGATTGACTACTACTAATTCGATCGGTGATGCACGTTAGGTTATCACAATTATTCTGCCGTGTCGTTCCATCCGTATGATTGAAATGGATGGTCTGGACTTTGGTAACGTACGGGTCATTTCGTTTCGTAGTCCCGCGGCCGCCGTTTTCTATCATGCACGCCGTGTGCACAGCAAAGCAGCCGCCGACAAACTATACGGCTGAAAGAGACAAGTAAAGACTTTCCTGGAACGCGGCAGCTTAGCGGGTCGTGGCACGGTGCTAGTCGGGTCGCCTTCCGGGCGGCGCCCAAGCCGTTGAACGAGCGCGACGGAGGGCTGCGCCACGCGGGGCGCTCTCGCCTCCGACCTGTTCAACAAAAAATCCTTCTCCGCCCACCCCCTCCGAGAGCACGTATAGAGCCCAACAACGGCCCATGAAGCCTTTCGACGCGTTGGCCCAGCTAGCAGGAGCTTCGGCTGGCTCCTTTCCTCCGCAGAGCCACCGCGAATGCGCCGCTGCTCGTCGCCTTGCCGCCGCCAAGAGCATCGCATCCGTGCTGGAGCTGCACGCCTCCACTATGAGCTCGCGCTCCGAATCGAATTTGTTCTGACAAATGAGTCGGATTGTTCCAGCAAATCAAACAAATTGTTATGGCAAATGAATCGGATTGTTCCAACAAATCAACCGAATTGTTCTAACAATTCAAAAGGATTGTTCCAGCAAATCAAAAGGAATGTTCCAGAAAAACAATCAAATTGTTCCAGCAAACCAATCGAATTGTTCCATCAAACCAATCGAATTGTTCTAGCAATTCAAGAGGATTGTTCCAGCAAATCAAAAGGATTGTTCCAACAAATCAATCGAATTGTTTCCAGGAAATGAATCGAATTGTTCCTGCAAGAGAAAAATTGTTCGAACTCATTTGGTGGAACAATCGATCAATCACTTGGAACAAATCAATAAATCAGCATGAACAAATGAAAAGCAGAGAAGAGGGAAGGGAGATTTGGAAGCCGTGAGGGCACATCTTCATTCGTGCGCAGCTTGATGTTGACCTGGTAAGCACAGAAACAACAGGGTAGAGCTTGGAGCACCTGCCGTCGACGAGCAGCGCGCGTCGTCGCGAGGAGGTGCGGAGCGGAACGAGGGTGGCGCGTGGAGAGAGAGGATCAGGTCGACCGTCAATGGCTAACGTGCGGGCCGAACTCGTCGCGTCATGGGCCGTTACCGAATAAATGAGCCCAACAAAAGAAAAACGGTGAAGCGGGGAGGGGTGGGCGGAGGACGCGTTCCCGTTGCGGTGGGCGGAAGCGACGATTCGCCCCGCCACGCCGCGCCGGGCCAGACGTCGCCGCGTTCGTGCAACGCGCGTCCTTTTTTTCGAAATGAGATTACTCGCCCCCATCCGAAGACGGGGGTCCAAAGAGGTCTTACATTTGTTTAAGCAAAAGATCGCGAAAAGAGAAACTATTGGGTACGGTTAACCACCCTCAATCAGAATACCAGAATTCTAGAAATACCTGATTGGGGGCAATTGAAACCGGTCGATTCGACCCCCATACTTCTCCAGTACAGCAAAAACAGCTACAAATATGATCTAGCTTATTACATCGCTTGTATAGCAAAGCAAGCGGAAATCATTCATCGGCTCCTTCAGTCTTCAGCTTCATTCTCCTCAGCATCTGCATCTTGGATTGTCACCGTACTCCCTTGAATCTGCTGGATCACCGCACATCTTCCTTGCCTCTTCATAATGCTTACCGCCGTTTGTAGCATGGTTGTAGCTCCAGCCTTGATCACCTCGCCCATCTCAGCTGGATACAAACCTGCCCAATATCAAAGGAAAGTACAGACATTGATAACAATATCACAAGAGTGCTGGATGAGAACTTTATCAACGCATGCCCTATTACGGGCTTTCCAAATGGCCCAGCAAATGGCCGCAAGGCCTTCAGTGTATATTTTATCCCCTCCAGGCAAGGCCAACTTAACCCATTGCCAGAACTGTTCTATGCTGTTGGGTCTGGAGTTAGTTTTGAAGCAGATTGCAATCACACTCCAAACACCTCTTGTAACACAACACTCAAACATGAGATGAGAAATGGATTCTTCCTGGTTACAAAAATGGCAAGTGGGGTCGCCCTGCCACTTTCTGTTAACCATGTTGTCCTTTGTTAAGATAACTCCATTCTCTAGTAGCCATAGGAAGATCTTTATCTTTTCAGGAATCTTGGACCTCCATATGTGCTTATATGAGGCCCCATTATCATCTCTGGTTAGATGATCGTATACAGATTTCACAGAAAAAATTCCATTGGAAGTCCATAGCCATACAGCTTTGTCTTTGGAGGCTGTCAGCCTTTGTTCATTTAGCCTAGCAGCAAGGCTGTACCATTGACCATGTAAGATGGAGGGTAAATTAAC